TTTATCATTCTTATATGTGAAAATGATGCATGAATAACGAATTATTATTTTTTTGTTCTACTATTAAAATTAAAATAATTTCATTTACTATCCATAAAATTGAACAATAAATAAATTCAGTCAAATACTGCTTTGAATCGCACAAAATTTGCGGATAAATTTTTGTTATTACAGAATGTTCGAGAAAAAATAAATTTTTAACTTCCCGTAGGGTAAGTTATAGTAATCGCAAAAAAATCGAAAATGAAAATTTTTATATATCTTTACGTTTCAGAGGTTTCTGAACATTTTGGCATACCTTAGAAAAAATGGATGTATGTGTGTGTGTGTGTGTGTGTATGTATGTATGTATGTATGTATGTATGTATGTATGTATGTATGTGTGTGTATGTATGTGCGGATACAAATTTTCGTCGACGATTTCGGGAACACGGATCAACCGATTTGAACAATTCAAAAAACATTCGATTCGTATTGATAAGGAGACGTGCTGATTAGTTTTTGGCGAAGGCAGGTCTAGCCGTTCCAAGGATACGGGGCAAATAGTGCCGAAAACGGTAACTCAGTTTTTAAGAGAACGGAGCGCCCGATTTGAATAATTCAAAAAACATTTCACTTGTATTAACAAGATAAATAACTCATCACATTTTCATGAAGGCAGGTCTAGCGGTTTTGGAGATATGGAGGAAAAAGTAAAAAAATGAGCCATTTGGCGGTCAAAAATGATCATTAGACATATGCACATCAAATTATCAGATATTTTATAGAGATTTTAACAATAAGTAAACATTTTGTTAACATTCCTATGGGTTCCGTACCAATGCTTATGCGTTAGACAGCGACGCGACGCTTACGCGTTATATTTTGTCCCTATGCAGTTAAAGCAGTACGATTGCTTTAAAAAAAAAGTTCAGATCTTCCACAATATGTCAAAATAAAGAAAAAAAAAATTTATTAATATATTAATTTTTTTTTCAAAAAAAAGTAATTTTTTGTCGAATTTATAGTTTCTCAAAAATCTTATTTTTTCAAAGTAATTTTTTTTCAAAAATGTTAATCGTTTTTAAAAAAATAATAATTTTTGGTACGGGAAGTTCCAGCAATTTGCCTTAAGGCACGATGCCTTAATTGCCTTAAGACAGAATTCCACTTACAGCTAGTCTATATAAAATTCTAAAACCGGTTTTCTGAGATGTCGGTTTTTGTATAAATCTTAATATTTACATATGTTCATATTTCAATTATGGAACATTTAATTTTACAACTTTATTATACTTAGCACTTACTATAGTAATCACATAATCATCTTCATTTCGCAATCATTTGTTTCCCTTTTCCTTAAATTGTACTTAAGTTTTACCATTTATAGAAGAATTCAATTAATTTTGTAATTTATTTAAGGTATATTTAGAAGATATACTTCACCGTAAAGAGGATTTCAAAACAATATTTAAATTTAATGTCATATTCTTGTAATAACAATTATAATTATAGAAGCTTATATATTTGAATATATTTTCTGAAAGTTAATTTTCAATAATATAACATTATATTAATAAAGGCTTTAAGAACGATTTAATTTTTTTATATATAGTAGTTTAAACTTGTCCTGAAATGGACAACAAGTAAAACTGTCTCAAAAAAATGACCTTAAAATATCAAAATTTTATTCCTTTGTCAGAGTTTTGAAAGCTTAATCTTGCTCTGGAAGTATTGTGACGTAGTTCTCTGCCAAGTGGATAATCCTTGAGGTGGCATTTAAATTGTCCGAATTATTCGTATAAAGGTAAAAAATGGAATAAGTAAACAAAAATTGATATCACCGCTAATAACATATTTTTAATAATAGTAGACAACTGTATATGTAATTAATTTCTGCACTATGCTGATGAGAATGCGCTAATTAATTTATAATTCTATCATGTATGTCGTCGCAAAAATTGAAAATAATTGATGCTCATTATTGTGCATCATGTGTTATTAGAAATCATTTGACTTGTTATTGAACTCCGGTTCCTTTAACAAGCTATATTATCGCACAAGATCCTAAGCTGACGGTCACGCAGTTGCTTCTCGTTATTTTTAACGAAGCGTTATATTTATAGGCTTTTTCATACCCTCTGTATGAATAACATATGACAAATAAACACAGTTGTTACCATAGAGAAAATGCTTTAAATGAATCATGTGTCCTATACATACAATAGTTTGAAACATTGTGCATGGCCGACTATTATTGTATTGAAAACCCATGCTACACATGGTTGCATTTGAGTAGTATCCACTGTCGAACAATTTTTAGTTATAAAAAGTAGCATGTTTTCAAATTTGGATCAATCTAACTTTCTGGAATTTTTATAAATTTTCTAATTAAAAAACTTTCATTGTTCTGTACATATTAAGTTATTATCGGTCGCGTGTTCTTGAATGCTTTGAATTCAATGTTTTATAAAAATCTAAAAATGCAATATATTAGATATTTTAATTTTTATTAATTCTAATTAATGAAATAATCTATATAAGGTTATATAAGGTTAGAAAAATCCGAGCCATTTTCGATATTTCAAAAAAAAAACAAGTTCTAGTTTCTTCAAAAACTAGTAATTTCTTCACAATCTCTACATAAGCAAAATGTTTTTTGATTTATTCTAATGAGATGCCCCTATTTCTTAAACTGCTCTTTTTTGCACTTTGTGTTTCATACTTATCTCCGAAATAGCTGGAATTGCCTTTGCCACAAACTAATAGGCACGTCACTTCTTTCCATATTTTCTGAATCATTTAATTCGGTTGATCTGTACTATTAGAATATACACCCACATATATTTACACACATCCATACATCCATTTTGTCTAATTAAAGCATGCAACATAAAGATGAACAAAAATTTCATTTTGGAATTTTCGTACGATTATTATAAATTATAGTTATTATATTGTTTCATTCGGGCAACTTAATATTTAACTATCTGATGATTTTCAATTCTGTATGCATTATTAGCCTTAAAGAGAAAACAGAACAGAAAAAAACAACTAGATCTGTTTTTCAATAACACTTGAGACTAACTTTTGGTAATCATAAAAATCAAATGTAGAGATAAGTTAATTTGAACTATCCGCTTCCGTTAGTTTTGACAAATTTAATTCAAAATGTCATTTACATCTCGATATAACTGATGTTTTAAAATAATAAATCATGTCAAATGCTTGAATATTAATGTTTGCGATATTTATTACGCGTTTATATAGTAAGGAGATAAAATAATTTCATAATGCTTCGATCTGACATACTTCCTAATTTATTTAATTAATTAACTAAAACATCAAAGTATCTTTTATAAGCATTATAGTTTCTATGTTTTTTTAATTTTAAATTTATTCTGCAATCTGTATATATTATTACATTAAGCAGAGAATGCTGACAATTTGTTTTTAATTGGTTATTTACAAATTAGTAAATACCTCCAGTGGCGTGTCTACTAGAGCTAATATAACAAAAAAAATAATAAAATGTAGTAAAATGAAAGTATTATAGTTAATTAAAATATATTAGGTCTCCAGATATTTTTATTTTAAGCCTGGTCGGCTGGTCTTCCTAGTATAAACGGCATGCTAGTTGGTTAGGATGGACGTCTATATGTGTTCTTAAATTGTAAGTATGCCTGTGCCTTTGTGGAGGATCCATGTTGGCGTGTAGCGAGGAGCGTTTCATATTTTAATATTTTAATATCAATTTCTATGTATCATACCTTTTTTTCATGAATACTTACTAATTTTTCTGTTTTTCTCATTTGTCAAAAAACGAATTATATTTATGGTTGATTATGAGTTTATAAAAGAAGTTGTTTTTTTATTTTTCTACATTGCGTTACGACATTATTATTTTATACAAATAAAATGTTGGCTTTGAAACTAAAAGTTGTAATATTATTATTTTATTAAACATTGTAATATTATTATTTTATTAAATATAATTCTTTAGAACATACAATTTAGAAACCAATTTATAATAAACTTTTCACTTTACGATTTAGAACGATAAATGTATATGGAATGCATTTGGAATGAAAGTTATAGAATAATCTTTGTTAGAATATCACTTTATCTGGAAAGTAACTTGTTTCAAGAATCCAGACATATTTTTCTTGACGAATTGCGCGACATGTAAAAAAACGCCTTGTATCATAAAGGCAACCATTAAACTTAATAAAAACGCAGCCTGGAACTTGGCATAAAGAAGAGAAATTTCTTATCCGTCTAGTGAAATTGTTTGAAATACTGGCGACTGTCAGACTGCTCGTTTAAAAAGTCAACACTAACGACTATTTACTTTTCTGTGCGCTAGAGAAAAACTAATATTTCAGTATTTAACGCCATGCTGAAAGTGCACAAGTAATAGTTATTAATTTGAGCTGCTGAACTACTTCAAAGGCGACCAGAAACTTACGAAAAATATGAGCCAAGTAATTGGTTATGCAGCGGAAAAGGGAAAAGATACATAAATGTATCATCAATATGAAATATTAAGTAGCAGATATATATCGCATGATATAATATTATATTAATGTAGATCTATACGCATGAAATATTTGTGAGTGCTAGCTTGTTTATATAATATTACATTTAGCAATGAAATACATACACATTTTTAAAATAGAATCGGACAAAATCTCATCCATAAAACATGCATAATACGATAAAACCAGTTTAAAATAAAATGTCTGTTTCAGTAAATCATTATTTAGGAATGAAATAATTTCAAAAAAAGATGTTATTCAATATTAGAAATAACAATATTATTTCTAAAAATTAGATGTATAAGATAGTATGTGATAAATGAATGTCCACGAAATCATATTTAATTGGTTTTTTATATTTAAAGAGAAATTTTTAAGCAAACCTATTTGTTGAATATTAGTGGTTGCGTTTATTAAAAACAGAAAAAATCTGTTGTAATACTTAATTTGGAAAATTTTAAACAAAATTATTTGAAAAATATTATGAAGGCAATAGAAAATGGTTTACATGAAATCCACGAACCTTTACTTAGTGCTGGTGCATCTTCTTCTGATTCAGCAACCAGTCTCAATATTCAAAAGGGTGCAGATTTGATTAAAGAACTACACATACAGAAAAGTATGAAGAAAAAACCATTTGCAAAAATTACTGTAGTATCTGTGGATTCTCCAGCTCAACAAGCTGTAAGTGGTTTCGTATGAATATACACAAAATACTCTTCTCATTTTAATCCAGTGATTTCTTAAATTTTTCTTCTATCTTTTCATTCCAGGGCCTCATTGTTGGTGATGTTATTACAGAATTTGGTTCTCTTCATTTTGATAATTTCACATCACTTCATCAGATTGGACAGATTGTTAGTAATAGTGTTGGCAAAAATGTTGTAGTGGTTGTACTCCGACACGGGGCACCTATGAAACTAAATTTAGTACCTCAAAAATGGCACCTTATTCGAACACAATAAATAGCATTTTTTATAATTTGAGTACTATAAAAAAATTATTTGTCATGGTGTGCTTTGAATAGGAGTTTGCAAAGCCTAATTCGAACTAGCACAACCACAACTTCAAACTTTATATTAAAGTAAAATATAAATATAAATAGAACTTTCAAAGCTTAGATTTTGTAATGTTAATGAGAAAATGAGTTTAACATGAATTAGAAATAGACTGGATTGGAATCGATGGAATAGTAGCAAGAAAATATATATTTGACAAATTATTTAAGCAGTTAGAGCTGATTATAACTTTTAATTTGATATAAATTATTGTATATTTTAAGCCAGCAGTAATGTTAATAGTTTCAATCACATGTTTTCCCTGTGTCAATATTCAAGTAAGTGGGAAATAGTATTTTAAAAGCTCTAAATAGAGATATTCATATATTATATCTGCAAATTGATATTTTTAATAACAAACTACATTTTTTTCAACTCATATTTGTTAAAGGAAAGATTTATCACAATAACTTCTAAGTTATGATTTCTGATCAAAGTCCCTTTTTAGGAAGAAGCCCAACGGTTGGCATATCAAAATTTGTTTTAGTTAAAAAAAATTATAATATTGATGATATATTGTTTTAATTAGACGCAGCATTGCCGATGAAAAAATATTTTTACTTGAAAGCATATTCAGATTAATAATATCATGCAAAAAAGGATATAAAAACGAAATTCGACAGAGCTATTGGGGCTTATTATTAAGTATACGAATACGTCCATACCATTAACAAAGCATAAACCTAGTATTTGGTATAATCCAAGCTTGTTAATGTTATAATTTAAAATCATAATTGAATGTTAAATATATTGAAAATTATATTTATAGTTTATTTATAAATATTCCCAAATATTTTAATTATTCTGAATATACCAATTTTATACGAAAACTAGTGGTGTGTGGCATCGCGCCTTATGGCAAATTGCTAAAACTTCCCGCATTGTGATGAAAAAATATTCGAGAAATATTAAATGTTTTCAAATAGGTTATTATAGATAACTTATATATCTTAGCAGAAAAGTAAATAAATAAAATTTAAACAATCGAATTTAAAATTAAGAGCATTATCTAATATTTAAAAGAATTATATAAACTGAATATCAAAGTTAAAATTAATTATTTAAAGTATATGGTAATTATTTAAAGTGAGTTTTAGAACTTTAGCTAAAATTAAAATCAAAATTCGAATTATTTTCGATATAAAAAAGGAGATTAAAAAAAACCCAAGAGCAATTGTTTCGTCGAGAGAAGCAGAAAGTTTTTTCGAAACATTCAAATCGGATGCTCCGTTCTCTCAAAAACTCGTATTCTATTTTCTGCACTCTTTGCTGCGAATCTCTGAAACGTGTAGACCGGCATTTTCGAATGAAATCGAATGTTTTTTTAACTATTCAAATCGGTTGATCCGTGCGCCCAAAAACGTGGACGAAAAATTGTATCCATACATACATACACAAATACATCCATTTTTTATTCCATTAGATATTCCAAAATGTTCAGAAACATTCAAAAAGTAAAAAAATGTAAAAATTTTCACTTTCGATTTTTGGACGATTACAATAACTTACCCTACGGAAAGTTAATACTATTAACTTTTATGCGAAACTTGCAATGCTCTGTAGTTTCGAAAAGAAGTTATTTTTATTGTTAATGTGAGTGTGATAAATTTCTAAATCTGTTTGATTTATATCGAGCTAATAAAATAAAATCTTTAATCATATCTCCACTTTCTTGTTTGCAATTATTTTGTTCTGCATCTCATATAACAAAAATTGTCACTAATACACGCTCTTGTGCTGCGACCGGTTTCAGATAACGGATGGTGTGTAATTAAATCTGAAATTTAATTACATCGTTATTTTCAAAACCTTTCTAAATTAAAAATTCTCCGGCTTCAGACATATCACGTGTCAAATTAAGAAAGAACGTCTTTTGAATTTTGTGTTTTTATCACTCAAATGATCAAAAGATTATGCCCGTCATAGTATATAATAATGTAAGAAGAATACTCGCGCGACCTTGAGTAAATATTTCCAACAAAGGTAAAACTTATTCCTTTTGAATGAAATTCCACAGGCCGAAATTTTTATAAAAAGTTGTTATTATGCTGACTAATACCACTATTTGAATAAACTTAGATATTTGTGTGAAAGTAGTTGATATAATTATAACTTTTTGTGTTTATATTAATTTTCGAAAATAATAAAAAATATCAGTAACAACTTCTTTTGACTACCGAATAATGTCTAAATTTCGAAAGTCATTTTGATGAACATTTTGGATTTCGGGTTTCGAATTCATGAATTACGGATGACAGAAATTTAGTGAAATTATAAACCATTTGGGCAGAAATTGTAGGATAACGTGGGTCTTAATAAAATTAATATTATTTGACTACCAATAACATATTTGCAAGCGTGTACTAAGCGAAACAGGAATATTAAAACTGTCTTAAATTTATTTTGCACTTGTGCAAAGCGCCAAAATAAGAGCTGAAATAGTTTAAACGAAAATTTTGGTAAGCTGACACAACTATATTTGCCAATAATTCATATTTGGCCATTATTGCGTCAAATGCGAAAAAAATGAAACTAGTAGGGCGCAAGGCATCTAGCCTTAAGGCAAATTGCTGGAACTTTCCGTACCAAAGATTTTTATTTTTTTAAAAACGATTAACATTTTTGCATAAATTTTACTTCGAAAAAATTAGATTTTTGAGAAAAAAAATGTTTTTTTCTGCTTTAACTGCATAGAGACAAAATGTCAAAGCGCGTAAGCGCCGCGTAGCCATCTAATGAATATTATTGGTACGGAACCCATAGAAATGCAAACAAGATTTATACTTATTGTTAAAATCTCTATAAAAAATCTGATAATTTGATGTGCATATGTCTAATGATCATTTTTGACCGCCAAATGGCATTTTTTTTTACTTTTTTCATTAGATCTCCGAAACCGCTAGACCTGTCTTTATAAAAATTTGATCAGTTCTTCAACTTATTAATACAAGTAAAATGTTTTTTGATTTATTAAAATCGAACGCGCCGTTCTCTTAAAAACTGAGTTACCGTTTTTGGCACTTTTTGCCCCTGCCTTCGCCAAAAACTAAACAGCACGTCTCTTTATCAATATGAATCGAATGTTTTTTGAATCATTTAAATCGGTTTATCGGTGTTCCCGAAATCGTCGACAAAAATTTGTATCCGCACACACACATACACGCACACACACATACACACACACATACATCAATTTTTTCTAAGGTATGCCAAAATGTTCAGAAACCTTCGAAACGTAAAGATATATAAAAATTTTCATTTTCGATTTTTTTGCGATTACTATAACTTGCCCTACGGGAAGTTAATAAAATTCACGACAGGATTTTTAATAAACTGTCATAAAATAAATAGCACTGTTAGAAAGATCCAAACAACACCCCATTTAATTCATATGTGACTGAGAAAGATAATTCAATGAAGTTAGAGCGTTTAATAAAAGAAAATTTCTTTTAAGTACATCGTTGGCTAAAAAATAGCAAAGGATCAAACTTTATTATATCCTGAAGGTAAAACTGTGGAAAATTGTTTGAAAAACAGGTTTGTGTAATAATTTTAATGTGTGATATATGTTGTAGTAAAAATCATAAAAAAATAATATTAAATAATCGGGGGACTGCTGGGGAGGCTGGAAAACCGTTGTACCATTCGTACATTTTGTTAGTACACATTTGCTTTGCGATAATTACAGATTACATAATATTTCTTTCGTATCTCGCTATTTGTAATATAAATAACAAATCAAAGAAAACAAATACATATTTACGATTTTTTAACCACCTCTTATTTGCGATCTAACACATTTATACCAGCGTAAAAGACGGCTGGTACGTATGTCCACAACTAATCTAATTTAGTAATAAATACAAAATGTTTGAAACATAGTTATACTTGCCTACTATATATCTTTTTCTTGTTCATTGTAATCACTCACAATCACTGTAAATCGCAAGAAGTTTTTATATTTTATTGAAAATAGTCTGATTTTTGCAACGGATAAAAAACAAAACGCGATTGGTTCTGAACTAAATGCTGTTGAAATTAGAGCGGATGTCTAGGATATACTTGGAATTTCTGCACTTTTTGCTCTATATCTTTGAAACGGCTGGACCTGTCTATACCAAAAACTAATCAGTACATCTCCTTATCAATACGAATCGATAGCTTTTTTTAATTATTCAAATTGTTGATCGGTGTTCCCGAAATCATCGACGAAAATTTGTATCCGCACAAACACATACACACTTCCATTTTTTCTAAGGTGTGGCAAAATATTCAGAAACCTTTGAAACGTGAAGATATATAAAAAAATTCATTTTCGATTATTACGACTTACCCTACGGGAAGTTAACAATCTTTTTTATATAAAAGCAGTAATGTAAATCTATAAAAAACTTTTTCAATTTCGTGTAAATTAGACAATTATTTTTTTGAAATTGAATTTGAAATGGAATGACGATTGTTAATGTTCTGGAGATAAATTGATTTATGATTTACATTTGATTTGCTCAGATATAACAAGATAGCAAAAATAATGAAAGTTACAGTATTTGTAATAAAATATTTGAAAACGTTTAAAATTTCTCGAATATTTCATTACGGTACGGGAAGTTCCAGCAATTTGCCTTGAGGCACGATGCCATACACCACTAGTTGCATTTTGGAGTTAGTTGTTGTGTGGACTGAACGGCTCATATATCAATTCATTCAATATTTGAAAAGATTATTACATAACTTGTAATTACACAGGATTAGCACATATATATGCAAGCATGCAGGCATATATATATATATATATATATATATATATATATATATACATATAGATATATATATATATATATATATATATATATATATATATTAGTTACGTATATATTAGGCATTCCGGTCTCTATTACTCTATCTTC